CACAGAATGGAGAACCTTCCAGTGGGGGCCCACAAGGCACTCCATTTTAAGGACAGCTCTTTATATTGGTTCTTTTTTGGCTCTGACATGCTTGGCTCCTATCCTTCCCTACTGAACACCAAGAAGACTTTTCATAATGCCATGAGTCATTACATGTTCATGAAAGGACTTTGTGAAAATAAAGATAAGAGTTTTTTTAATTAATTTATTTATTTTATATACAACATTCTGCCTTCATATATGCCTGCATGCCAGAAGAGGGCACCAGACCTCATTACAGATGGTTGTGAGCTACCATGTGGTTGCTGGGAATTGAACTCAGGACCTCTGGAAGAGCAGCCAGTGCTCTTAACCTCTGAGCCATCTCTCCAGCCCAAAGATAAGAGTTTTGGTGGAAGACACAAGCTGCAAAACTGTAGATACAATTGCATATAAATACGGTTTTGTGCTGCCTTCCATTCATCCTGTGTCCTGTATCTCTCCATCTCCTGGAGATGAGTAGGGTGACTGTGCTGCACTCTTGGGCACCCCTCAACACACTACTGTGGAGAACCAGCTCCACAAAGGTGTCGCTTTAGTGCTTAACAACTCCCTGCCTTCTTGTCCATTTACTTGCCGCATATTGAAGAAACTCTAATGAATCCATAATGGACAGAAAGAGAAAAGGTACTATCAGATGCTAGTGTTATATAAAGAATAACACTAAGGAGCCATCTTTGAACTTTAGTTTTACCCTTGGGTTTGCCTTTGTGTGTGTGCATGAGTAATGGCTTCATGGAGTTTCTCAGACAATCCCATACTTCCTGGACAGCAGCTGTTAGCATGCAGAGAGTCCCTACCCCTGCCCCAGTGATCCTGGCTGCCTTTGGATTGCAAGACTTGTGTGTAATGGTCTTTGGAAAGGGGACTCTCAGAGATGGGATTTAAGCATTGACTTGTTATTAGAAACTTTTTTCCACTCAAGGGAGTTTGCACCTGAATTATAACAGCAGAGGAGTGCTTTTGTACATGCGATTTGAGCAGGATTCCACAGTCACAAAGAGAACAGATACATTCGTCATTTGGGAACTGGATTTCCCTGGACTCAATCCCAGTGATTGTCTTTGTCTTGGCATATAAAAAGGAAAGTGTTACTTACTCTACTAATTGAAATCATATGGTACTTATCTGTTCTGATGCTGTATTGCTGGATCCTGTGGAGCTAGAAGCACATGTATATGAAATCTCCCTCCCTCCCTCCCTCCCCTGCATTCACCAAAATTTGTTTTGTGCTCTTGACAAGAACTAAAGGGAGATGGATTAATATTATTAAATATTCAAAGGAATAGATTTTTTAAATTGAGTTTTATTTTAATTTAATTTTTTTTTTGCATTATACGGGTTTAGTCTGCATGGGTGTGCACCATGTACATGCAGTGCCCATGGAGGCCCGAAAAGTGCATCAGATCCCCGGAACTGGAGCGACAGTTGTAAACTGATAAGAGGATGCTGGGAATTAAACCTGGGTCCTCTTCAAGAGGAGGATGTGCTCTTAACCACTGAGCCAACTCTTCAGCCCTGGATTTATTTTTAAAGATGTATTTATTATTTTTATTTATGCTTACATGAATTTAAATGCACCATGTTTATGCAGAAGCCCTCAGACTCCAGAGGACATTGGATCCCCTGGAACTGAAGTTACAGGTGTTTGTGACTCACCTGATGTAGATGCTAGAAACCAAACCTGGGTCTATCTGCAAGAGCAGTTAGGTGCTCTTAATCACTAACCCGTCTCTCTAGCCCCTAAATTAGATTTAAAGTGGAGTTCAGGCTGTAGGCAAGAGAGACAAAAAGTGATACCGATGTGATAATTGCTGCATTTTGAAGCATATCCAAAGCGTTGGCCTGTTTGTGGAGTATTCAGCTCCGTGTGGTCCTCTGTGTACATATCTACTGCCATCCCAAGTAGGGGCTGCTGAGTCAGGGAACAAGCACACCTGATCACCATGGAGGCCCTGGCTGGGAAACGTTTAGGGACTTGCACAAAAGGCAAAAGGAAATGGAGGACCAAGCTAGAGAGCAGAACTTGAGACTCTGTTCCTTCTGAAGTCACGCAGTGAACTGAGGCTTCCAGCTGGTCTCTTAGGAACTATGCCTTGTTCCAGCCACGGCAGCACAATGCCCAGGTGCTTCATTGGGCATGTCCTGGACAAACCATCTTCCTTATGCTACTCAGGAGGGTGAGAAGCTGCCAGGCTGAGAAAGAGGCATTAAGAAAGGCAGAGGTCCTGAGTCCTCTGCCACAATCAGGCATAAGCATGATCTTTGCTACCTCCCAGGTGCATGAGAGCCCCTGTTTTATTTGTGCATGGGGGGGCTGCTTTGCAGCTGAGCTTCAGCTATATATGATGTCGATGCACATGTGTAGTTTACATAGCAGCATTATGTGCTTAAATCAAGAGAAGAGAGAAATGGAGAGGGAGTAGCATTAACAGATGTTTAATACTGTTTCTAAGTATGGAAACAGGAACCAGAGTTTTTAACCCAATAAAGGACATTTAATTCTCACTAATAGAATTCCTGCTACGTCAGGGTCAGTGGTTCTCAAACTGGAGCATGTATCAGAGTCCCACGGAGGGTGTATCCCCTCAGAGGCTGCTGGGCATCATCCCCAGGGTTTCTGATTGAGAAGGTCTGGGGCCAAGGCCTGGGAATATGCCCAGTTGACAAGTTTTCAGGCTTTGCCAGTTAACTAGCCAGTGTAGCTTCTAGCAGAGAGAGAAGCGCCACAGTGCCCTCCATCTCTGGAACCCCTGTGGGACCCGACTGAATGGGGAGGAGCGCGGCTTACCCTCTGGATTTCTGATTGTGGTCCACAAAGGCAAAGGATGTAAAGTTCACCATCCCCCAGAAGATGAGCATAATACAAATTTCACTGGGACCCCTATTGCTGGGACCCATTGAAGTCAGTACACTGGAATTTTTCTGAAGCATTGAAGAAAAAAGGCAGAGTGTGCATTCGTTTTGTTCTGTAAGTGCATTTAGCAAATAGTGTTTCTGGGTGTCTGGTGACTTGGACTTTCTGGTAAATCAGGATGTCATGCATGAAGGCAGCACTTTCTTTGGCTCCCAAAGGAGAAATTACAAGGATCTGAAATCTGCAAGGCTTTCTCCAGAAGGCAGCATTTCTGCTTTAAAGCCCAAGCTATTCATTTGATGTCTCCGCTTTGTGATTGTTTATTAGTTTCTTTGTTTTAGGAGCGTGAACAAAGCTAAGATGGGCAGCAGCCCCTTGCTGGTACTGTATTTCCAGACTCCCTCTTTTCCCCATTGGTGATAACTGAAGTTTTCCTTGCTTTTGTTTGCCTCTCCCTAATGTGTTAATGGGAGTAAAGCTTTATTCCAGCCTCTGCCAAACGAAGGGAGGGGCAAAGAGATTGGCAGGCATGCTTCCAGCAGTATGGATGAAGAATGAAGCTCCCAGAGCTTCCAGGTTCCCTTCTGACTTTTCAATATAATCCCCAAACTGTTTCTTCATCAAATTTGACCTTCTAGCAGAAGAACATCAAACATATTTTTTTTAAAAAAAACTTCCTTGATATTTCCTTGAAATCATAAAATACTATTCGTTTGAGTACTTAGTGGTAGAAGAATGGCTTATTATTTGGGGTTTTCATTTTTTTATCCAATATAGAAAGCCTTGTGGCACTAAATGAAAATGTCACCGTGTAAAATGCAAAGGCTTTCTGTCACAAACGTTTTTAAAAATTCATGAAGGTCTGAAGATTTGATTTATCTTTTCCTCTTTCTGTGATTTATTCATATTTAATGTTAGTTTCAACAATCACAACATGAAGAACCTTTTCAAATAAAAAATGGCAAATGAGTTTCATTTGAAGAAAAAAACCAACCGTGCCAGTTTTTAATGACGCAGTTTATTGTTCTTCCCATGTTCACGGGACAGAAAGTTTGTTTTTCCCGGTGGCTTCATTGTTGGGAATGTCAATTCACCTGGCTATTTGCGTGTGGCAACGGTTTCTCTCATGTCAGTGGACACTTGTCATTGGGCATCAATCATGTTTACAGGGGAGCAAGGGCAGAAAGAAGAGTGGGAACAGCTCTCACCTCTGGAACGGTTGAGTTGGCTTGTTCCTGTGTTTGATTTAGGTTCTGAACTGCTGGGTAGCCTGTGACCTCAGGGACATCTTTAGGCAGGGACAGTCTTTCCTAAGGATGATCCGTAAATAAGAATAATAGAATTAGCTTCAAATGAAGTAGAAGAGGAAGTCAGAGCAGACTCAAAGTGTTTGGCTTTTTTTTTTTTTTAACTGATCAATGGACATTGGGTCTGAGGTGTCGACATTTAGGTCTTGGAGGACTAACCAACTGGTAGGAATGGAGCTGAAGACCCTCCTTGCTTTTGTTTTATGAGATAGGTATATTCTTCCTAAAGGACAAGAAATGTTTGCTCACACCCACAAGGTAAATGGTTTCTTAGATGGTAAAAAAGGACTTAATGAAGGCCCAATGGTTCTGAACAGTCTAGCTCCTGCCTGTCTGTCCACCTTCCTATTCTCCCACCCGTTCTTCTGCCTCTCGTCTCTGTATTCCTTCCCTTTGTTTTTCCTACTTGTTCTCATTCTTCCACTGTGATCTTATGTTAGAGCATCTGCACCGGGCCTCCATAAATTTTATCAACTTGTCATAAAATGAAGGAAACTGCACCAGTTTTTTTTTCTGTTCAAAATAATAAGAGACCTGTAAAAAGTATCAAGAGAGGAAGATAATAGAAGGCACAAAGAGTCTTCAAAGAAAAAGCCCTTTTTTTCTTCTTTACCCCTTTGTTTGTCACTGAGGACAAAATCCATTAATGTGTGGCAGCCAATCCACAGAGCAGTCTCAGTTCATGGCTGTGGTTTTCAGAACCAGGTCTGGGGGGTTTCCCACTGTGGTTTTGATTTTGTTCCTTTGCTCATAAAGAGAGTCATCCTGATGTGTAAATCTTCTTGTTTCCTCCTCAGACAATTGGGAAGAAGTTACCTCCAGCCACGTCAACTCCAGATCCATCAAAACCAGAAATGGACAGCAGGACAAAGGGTGAGTTTCCATAATTACCAAATTCTTTATAGACCTCTGAAAGCTTTTGTGTATCCATCCATTAAAAAAAAGCACACAAATGTGTCTCCTTAGACAGCCATGAGCGTACTGGAAGGACAAGTTAAAATCAGAATTCTTCTGTTTTTCATGGGGGCAGTTTGGTCCTTTCCTGCCACATCCATTGCAGCAACATGCAAAGTTAGAGTTTGTCCATATATCTGCAGGTTAAGTGACCCAAGAACTTCAGAAAGTGCGAACTAAAGCACATCAGAAATTGCTGGATCCTCATTAGCTAGGCCTAACCACTTAGCCATCATTACTCTCCTTTCACTTACTTAGGCGGAGGCTGTTCGTTCATTTCCCGGCTGCCCAGACCTGAAATAATCACATAAAAGCTCTATTAATTAAAGACACTACTTGACCTTTTAGCTCAGGCTTTTTGTTAATTAACTGTTACATCTTAAACTAACCCATTCCTATTATTTTGTATTTTACCACGAGGCTCGTGGTTTGCTGGTAAGGTTTTGGGGCTTCTGTTTCCTTTGGCAGCTATTCTCTCTCTCTATCTCTGTTTAAATTTTGAACAGGCAGTCTCCTACTATACACTTATGCTGGACTCCTGAACACATCTTTTTAAAAAATAGTTTTATTTCTAATTATGTATATGCATGTGTTTCTGCGTGGGGATATATGCACATGAATGAAGGTACCTGCAGAGAGCAGAGGCATCTGAGTTCTGGGAACTAGAGTACCAGTCACTTATGAACCACCTGGTATGGGGATGCTGGGACTTGAACTCCAGTCCTCTGCAAGAACAGTACACACTCTTAACCATTTAGCCATCTCTCCAGCCCCACATCTATTCTTGAATGTCTTCAAGTGTTCCTATGGTATCTTCAGGTAAGAGACTCAAGTCTTTTGGACGGGCTAGGCTAGTAGATGGGAAGAGATTAGTTTCATTTTAGATTGATGCTATCCAATAGGTCAATCACATGAACCGTGTATACAATTTAAAAATTTCTGATGACCACATTAAAAATTGGAAGCTAATTTTAATGTATTTAGGTCAATATATATGCACACATACATATATACATACATACATATATAACCTTATATATAACCAATTATTCATATATATATAACTTTTTCAATATGTAATCTCTATAAAACTATTAGTAAGATGTTGTGCTTTTCTTCAGTGTTTTGTCTTCACAGTGTTCTATGTGGTTTGCAGGTATTGTGTATCTCAGTTTAGAGTAGCAGCCACATTTTCGAGTGTTCATTAGTCACGTGTGCCCACGGGTGACCATGTTGGACAGTGTATTTTAAGAGGAATGTTGAAGCCCTTGACAGAAAACCACAGCTCTCACAGATATAGTCTCTGCTGAGCCAAATATGAGTGGCCATGGCCTAGGAACATGCATTGAGGTTGCTCAACATGACATGTTCCAATACAGAAACAGTGGCCTGAGCCCTTTTATAGCCACAGAGCAAATGAAAGTCCTAAGTCAAGGCTTTCCACAATACTTCAGTGGGAACAGCAGGTAGGCAGGCTAGGTTTTAGATGTTCTCTGATGACATTCTTAGCTTTTGCATTCGTGGATGCTAGTGATCTGCTAAGTGTATTTTACAAAAGTTTTGCCTTTGAAATTTCCCCAATACAGAGGTAGATAGTACATAGTTATTAAGAGAAATGAAGATAGCCCAAGATAATTTTGATTCTCAAAGATCTATACTGTTCTATCTTTTCACAGTCAAAATTTGAAACAGTAGGTCAGCCTTGTAGAGTCTTCAACATATATGTGACATTTTTTCTGGGAACTTCAGTTTATAGGGCCAAAGATGGCTCCTTGATCTAGGGGATGTACACAGTTGCAGATGACGGCTCCCTTAGGCATGTGGTAGAATGCCGGCCCTCCACCATGCCTTGTTCAGTCATATGAATATCAGTAAGCCCCATCAATGTACCTGACTCTCCAGAAGCATTATGGTCAGGGAATTGGTTATTCACAAAGCAGGGATTTAACAGAGACTAGATGGAGTATTTTGTCTTAAGAGTCCTATGAGGACCAGTTGTTATTAGCTACCAACATGACCCCAGACAAATTACTTGCTTTGATTTCTCTGGTCTTTATTCTCATGGTTTGCTTTATGTATGCAGTCAGAGTGTTGCACTAGACAAAGAAAAGCCCTTAGGTTTCTCCCAGCATCTTCATCCTCTCAGTCAGTCCTAAAAGCGTTAGGATCCATTGTGGAAGGTTTTTCCACTCCAAAGCATTGAGCAGCCTGAGAGACAAAAGGAAGACAGTTCTGTGAGAGTGTGCATTATTGTTGGAAATCGATGTTAATACGCCTGTCAGTGGGCATCGGGCCTTGAGGGATTTGCTGTTTACTCTTGGGCATTTTCCATGGATCTGAGGATAAGAATTTTCACAGCTGAATTTTACTGTACACATTCTCCATCTGGCCTTCCTTGCCAAGAGAAAATTTCAGGGTAATTGCTCTCCCATGATTGCCATTTAGTAGAACCCCAGGCCATTAGAATTCCTCCAACTTTTGAATCAGTTCCCTGTTTCTGGATGCTGATGCCATATCTGTGTTCAGGTAGGTTTCAGAGTGCTGAGCAGCCTTTGGAAATGACCCTGGGCTTGCTATCCAGGCAGCTTCATTGCTTCTTCCTTCTGGCCTGAAGTAGAAACCATGGCAAAGGATGCCCAGCAGCACAGAGGAGAGCTGCTTCTTCCTGCCAGCTGTCTCCTCAGCACACTAAACCACAAGCTCACATCAGGATCCAGAGTTAGGATGACTCAAAAATACTCATGTGAGTTGATATTTTTTGAGTGATCCAGATTTATTTAAGCAGGGAGCATTCTCCCCACCCCACCCCCAAATAAAAGGCTTTTATGATACTGAAATTCATCAGCAACTCATGCTGAGGAACAGATTGCCATAATTTTCATAACAAGAGGAAAACTATCTAAATATTCATAACAAAGTACCCCGAGGTGCCTTCAGCTTATCACATCTGGTGTCTCCCTTTTTCTTATAACAATTGGTGCAGATTTGTGATCTCTGCAGGGTAGAAACATGGCCTAAAAGACAGACCTCTTTAGCATTAGCATCTTTCTGAACTATTAGTTCAAACTTCCAGATTCAGAAGGCACTAGATCAGTGTTTCTCAACCTGTGTCAAATGACCCTTTCACAGGGGTCAGATATCAGATATCCTGCATAGCAGATATTTATAGTATGATTCAGAACAGTAGCAAAATTACAGTTATGAAGTAGCAACAAAATAATTTTATAGTTGGGGTCACCATAACACGAAGAATCACTGCTCTATATGTATAAGTAGATTTGGAAAGTAAAACTTCCTGGCAGAGAACCTAGAAACAACCTAGATGCCCTTCACTTGAAGAATGGATGAAGAAAGTATGGAATATATACATATTAGAGTACTACTCAGCAGTAAAAAACAAGGACTTCTTGAAGTTTGCAGGCAAATGGATGGAAATAGAAAACACTATCCTGAGTGAGGTAAGCCAGACCCAAAAGGAGGAACATGGGATGTACTCACTCATATTTGGTTTCTAGCCATAAATAAAGGACATTGAGCCTATAATTCAGGTTCTTAGAGAAGCCAAATAAGAAGGAGAACCCAAAGAAAAACATATAGGCATCCTCCTGAATATTAACCTTCATCAGGCGATGAAAGGAGACAGAGACAGAGACCCACATTGGAGCACCGGACTGAAATCTCAAGGTCCAAATCAGGAGCAGAAGGAGAGAGAGCACAAGCAAGGAACTCAGGACCACGAGGGGTGCACCCACACACTGAGACAATGGGGATGTTCTATCGGGAACTCACCAAGGCCAGCTGGCCTGGGTCTGAAAAAGCCTGGGTGAAAACCGGTCTCGCTGAACATAGCGGACAATGAGGACTACTGAGAACTCAAGAACAATGGCAATGGGTTTTTGATCCTACTGCACCTATTGGTTTTGTGGGAGCCTAGGCAGTTTGGATGCTCACCTTACTAGACCTGGATGGAGGTGGATGGTCCTTGGACTTCCCACAGGGCAGGGAACCCTGATTGCTCTTTGGGCTGACGAGGGAGGGGGACTTGATTGGGGGAGGGGGAGGGAAAGGGGAGGCAGCGGTGGGGAAGAGACAGAAATCTTAAATAAATAAATAAATAAATAAATAAATAAATAAATAAATAAATAAATAAAAACTTCCTGGCAGACTTTGTACAAGGTGGGATCAGGTATCGGAATAAAGTATGATAGGAGGTGGGAGAGGGATACAGGCTAAGTCTTGCCTGTTATACCTCACTCAGTAACTGGACATGTGCCCCACCTCTGAGATCACTATTGTCATTGACTTGCCACTTAGAAATTGTCTGTGGTAGAGACATATAGTAAGTACCTTGTTGTCATCATTAGATCATTGATCCTTCCAGGTTTAAGACAGATACTATATTTGATTTTTCCATGATGCAGCCTAGAACAGTGCCATCGACTCACTGAGTATATAGCGAGTGGAGATTGAGTAAATAGAGCCTTTTAAAGGACTCATGACATTGTGGGGGTTTTGCTCACGCATTCTGGGCCCGGGGATTTGGACACATCCCATATGAAACACATCTCCTTACTCATTGATGTCTCCATTGCTCAGTCTCCCCAAAGTTTTCTCTCTTCCTAGAAAGCACTCCACTAATCTGCTCTCTAGATTCACAGTGAGGGCCTTCCTGTGATGGGAGTCAGCTATCTAAGCTGTTTAAAGTCAGCCTTTCAACTTCGGTCCTCTTGGAGAGGACAGGCTTCCTATTTTCCCGATGGCTAGCCTTTCTCCCAGTCTCCAGGCATTTCATCTGAGCAGGAAAGAACTGCCCATGAGAATAGTAGCGCCTGGGCCTCACCCTGAGGTACAACAGAAAGGTTTTGCTGCTCAGGTTGCATTTTATTCTTTTGAAACAATGCTTCTCTTTTAAACATGAG